ACACACACACACACACACACACACATATAGATGTGATACTTCTATACCGCTTAATCTTTTAGATGAGATGATTAATAACATAATATATAGATGAGTTGGGAGAAACACCTCTCCTGCTCCAAGGAATAAGAACCTATGTTCAGCCAAGGTTCCCCCGACTAATTTCAATGCAGCAATAAGCCCAGCAAGGACCACAGATGCTGTCCCCTGGGTAAAATGTAAAAGGAGAGTTAAGACTAATTATGCAACAGGATCCATTAGACAATTGTATAAATATGAACTAAATTTAATCAAGTATGGAAAATTCAACTTCGATTATGGTGATCTCCTAATTAAAGTTACGTTATACTTCTCAAATTTAAAGCAGTAAATATAAACAAATATTGAAGATCGCATTGCAAAATAAACTTCATACATAATTTCCTATAATAATTTAACTTAGGCGGGACAAACCCAGTTGTTCTGAGCCTATCGACTTGCATTTTTGTTCAGTTTAATTTGAGCTTGGTCCTAAAATAGAAAGGTCAAGGAATTGGACTTCGGGGAAACACTAGGCTCTGTTGGCAACCTCAAATGAACAAATAAAGATGAAGGGCAAGAAGAGAACATCCATGAGACAAATGAAAAGAATACTCAAAACAAGCAGATACATTCAAAATTTGAAGAGAAGTTTCCTGTATGTGTACCTCTATATCATCGTTGAAAACAAGATGGGAAGTCCCATACTTCGCAAGGAGATCAAATGCATTATGATTTGCAAAGTCTTCAAACTGCATGATATATTTATTCAAATTAGAATTTTAAAAAAATAGTTAAGAAAACAGGAATTGTGTCAAATTGACTGACCTGAATGAGGACTTTTTCCCCATAATTTTGCTTGACTGCAGACATAAACTCGTGCAGAAGTTCGGAATATTCCTGAAGGCAACAATTTCAGTTCAATCTTTGCAGAAAAGAATACACAGCCTTTAAAATCCATCAAGACACTGATGCAAAGAAACTGATCATTAACCTGCCCAGTCGCTCTCCTTCGCCTGAGCCCAATATAAAATTCGTCCTCTAACAATGTCTCATTGTTTGTCCCCACGTCAATTGTCACGGGCAAGCACTGAAATGAAAGAAAATGATTTTAAGAATCTTCGCTTATATTGAAGCAAAATTATCAATAAGCCAAGAGAATGGACTGAATAGAACAACTAAACTTATATATATCATCTTCAGCTTTCACATGATTCAGATAATCAATCACTATACAGAAATAAGGGCTGTTGAAAGTGAGGTGAATTGCAATTATCAAAATAAAATTTCAGAAACAAGAGATGCAAATTACTAGAAACCAAAGATGAAGTTTCAAATACTTACAGCAGAAGGACGAATGCCACCAAGAGCTGAATATAAGGAAAGCTTCCCTACGGGTATCCCCATTCCCTGGTAACATTAGAAGGTATTGGAATCAAATTTATTAAATAAAAGCACATTTCTGGGTGCAGGAAAGCACTTGCAAAGGTGAAAAAATTTGGACCCCACAAACATATAAATCTTTATATGAGAAGCTTTATACTATAGTTAAACTCATCCCATCATAGAAAAACAAAAGAACAGGAGGAAAATGTCCAAATACCTGGCAGCCAAGGTCTCCAAGCCCCAAAATCCGCTCACCGTCAGTCACGACAATAACTTGTATCTTCTTTTCAGGCCAATTTTTCAGAACCTCGAGAATTCTTCCCCTGCAGAAACACTAATAGTAATCATTCCAGCAACTAATGTGGAAAATTAGAAAATTCTCTGGAATCAAACTTACTTTTCTTTCAAACTTATAAAGAGACCCTGAGGTTGCCTAAAGATACTCCCGTATTTTTGGCAGGCCTCACCAACAGTTGGAGTGTAGACCACTGGGAGCAGCTCCTCAACATTTTCAATGAGAAGCTTGTAGAACAGCCTTTCATTTCTTTCCTGAACACCGTGACAAAAATCAACAATAAGCATGTCATTGCATGCTAATAGTGACCAACATGAAATTTCACAAAAAGTCAGTGGCCTCTAGTGTTTTTGACCCCAACTATAACTTTTTAATGCACATAAAAGGATAAATTTTACAGCATAACCCTTGTCACCTTTTTAAAATTGGTTGTGGGGAAAAAAAGGAAATAAAAAACAGAGATTCGTGATCATAAAAATTATGTAACTACCTGAAGATCCATCATAGCCATGTACCTTTGCAATGGTACTTGGTACTGACGCATATTGTGCATCATTTTCTTAACCTATTCAATGAAACGACACGTTCAGAATAATAATTTACACAATAAAACCAAATAAATTGGACGGTTCCAATTTACAGAAATTAGTATGTTAACCTGAATCTCTTGACTAACAATGCCAGGGGGAAGAAGACCACGTAGAAAGTGGGCATCCCTCTCTTTCTCAGTAAAGGCAAGCCCTTTGTTGTAGTGTGGATCTCGTAGCAATTGATATCCGCTGAAATGCAACAAAGAGATTATTTAAGCAAACAAATGAAAATTAATGCACAAAGATTACGACTTATTATTATTATTATTATTATTTTAAAAACATAGAACATCATGAAGGGTCAATCATCTCATCAAGAAAATAAGGAGGAATAAGCCAGAGTAATGTAGCAAATACTAAATTATCTCAT